CGGGGCTGCCACAATGAGGGTCGCTCCTGCCAGCTTCTGCAACACAGCAACAAGAGCCAGCACGTCAGGAGGGCAGCATACTCCAGACTTCGATTACACACACACACCGCTACTCATTTGGAGACGGCAAGTCAAGATGACAAAAACCTAAGTGAATATTTATTTAAATAATTTAAAATTAAAATTGAAAAAATTTAAATACATGCAAAAATGACAAGTAATCCCAGAAATACAGTCAACAAGAAAAACAGATAATTGCCCTCCTCATAAATGGTGTGAGAACTTTTCTAGTATCAGCCTAGCCAACAATAATCCGACCATGGTGCTATAAAAAGAGACACAGTCTGAGATGGTGGCACTAGAAGGTGTTCAAGTAGCTATGGTGTCAAGGACACTACTTCCACTGAAAACACAAGCCAGCATTTAACGGGCACTACGTACCCCACAAGGTAGACATTAATTAATGTGTTGTGACCCCCAATTTACAGATGCCAGGGAAGAGGAGAAGCTGGTATTTACATTCGGATTACCGAGAGTACAAATCACTTTAGCACAGAAGGCTTCTTACAATGGAAGACTTCCTTAAAAACAACAGCAGAACCAAAAACCTTTTAAAAATTTGGCCCATTTAAAAATTTTATTTAATGGTGAAATAGCGTAAGGAATCTTACTAAATGTTTCCCGTTTTAAAAAATTTATTTACTTTTTAAACTGACAAATAAAAATTGTACAAATTTGTACTGTACAACATGATGTTTCGAAATATGTATACCCTGTGGAATGGCTAATTAACTGTGCATCATCTCATATACTTATCATTTATTTGTGGTGAGAACACTTAAAATCTGCTCTTACCAGCTTTCAGGTATATTATACGTTGTGTAGTGACTGTAGTCCCGAGCTATACAATGCTCTCTTCAATTTACTCCTCCTAACGGAAACTTTTGTACCTGCTGACCAACATCTCCACACTCCTCCTCCTCCCAACCAAATGCTTCAGCTCCCCTCCAAGAAGAGTGAAGCAGGTGGTCAGCTGGGCAGCAGAAAGTACACTTGGCAGGGAAATGCACCCTTCAAGGGGCTGCCACTGATAATTTCTACACTCTGCCGGACAGGTGGTTCATGCCTGGAATCCTAGCACTTTGGGAGGCAGAGGTGAGAGGACTGCCTGAACCCAGGCAACTTGGTGAGACCGCATCTCTACAATAAATCCAAAAATTAGCCGGGCATGGTGGTGCACACCTGTAGTTTCAACTACTCGAAAGGCTGAAGTGGGAGGATCACCTGAGCCTTGCAGGTCAAGGCTGCAGTGGCCATGAGAGTGCCCTAGGCGGGTCGCGAACCCGCGGGCTCAGGTAATCCACTCACCTCAGCCTCCCAAAGGCGCGGGATTACAGGCTGAGCCACCGAGCCGGCTTAGCCCTTTACTTTGATTCCTTGGGTGCAGAATTGCTAAATCAGTCTCCTCCCTCCGTCCCCACTTTACTCCCTTCCTCCTTCCCTCCCTCTCCTCCTCCTCCTCCTCTCTTTCTTTCTCACACACACACTTTTGAAAGAAAACTAAGCAAACCCTCTCTTTTCCTAGTTCCCTAACCTGAAGAATCAAAGCAGAAGTGTAGGTTCTTCTTTTTTATGTAATGGAGGTCATAGTCTCCTCAAATTTTCAAGTTCTAGGCAGGCATTTCCAACTCTAGACAGGCATATCCTTCCTCGAGGGCACACAGTTCTTCTGTTAAGTAAGCCTTAAATCAGAAATGGATTCCGAACTACTTCTATTGCCTATAATATAAACAGTTTCTTGTTATTAATTTCTTTCCAGTAACCCTGATTTTTTTTTCTTCACATATTTCAGAAAATGTTAATGCTAATTTAGGAACTGTGAAGGTAGTAGTATGCCAGCCAGCTTCTTTCTACCTTAGTTTGGGCCTAGGAATCTATAGGCAGGTCCCTGCTGGCATTCTATAGGCTACGGTTGGAATTTCGTTTGAACCTCCTTGATTTGTATTATTTTGTAGCTAGTTTTGTGGTACCTGACAGCACTCCGAAGACCTGGCAACCTAGAAAAATGTAAAACTCTCTAACCCTATTACAGGAAAGTCTTTCTTCCTCCTCTGTGTATCAAAATATGATCATGGAAATCATGGCTCTAACAATAAAAAAGACCAGAAAGTCTCAAGAGAGAGAGAGAGAGAGAGAGAGATCTGTGTGGCTTTCATCAGCCCACCTTGGATCACAAATATAGTCTGTATGCTTTTTGATGGTTGTACTCTTCAGAATACTGTTTTGGGGAAGAGCTGTTTTAATTTTCTATTTTAATAATCTAGCCTAAAATGTGAAGGAAGAGCTATTTACATTTTCCATAGCTAGACCGACCATGCATCCTGGTTTAACCAGAGAAGTCCCTAATTCAGCAAAATTATTGCTAACATTCCCTTTCATTTTCAGAAGTGCCTTGTTTAGATGACCCTGTACAAGAACCAAGCAAATCAATGTTTGAAAAAATGAAATTTGGACAAGGTAAAAAAAAGGAAAGAAAACTCTTCAATTTCATTTACTCTTCTAAAAAGTGTTTAGATTTTGTTGTACAAGTTGGTAAAATAGATGATGAAATCTTATGCATGCCATTCTATGCTACAAATGATTGCTTTTGTCTTGTTTTATTTCCTGATAGACCCAGAAAGCCTTTTGAGTTCGGAGTGACTCATATGGGTTCTTGCTGCTTCTTATATTCGTCAGTACTGGCACACCTTAGCTTCCCAGTACATGCTCCCTGGGCGATATTTATTGAATAAGTGGATGAATGAATGCATGAACGAAAGCCTGAATATTATGCAAAGGGCTTCTGTTCTAAAGCTGAATTTACTTTGATTGTGTAGATAGATGGAGATGCCTAGACCTTCCGGGTATGAGGGAATTGTGGTGAATTCAACAAATGGTAAATGGGTTTTGGTTAGTGTATGTATTCTTCTTTATCTGAATTTGCAGTTTCTAACTGCGACATAAAAGAGTAATAGCCCTCCCCATTTTCTCAGCCAGAAATTAAAAAGAGAACTCTTCCTTTCCTGCTCCCTCCATGTGACAAATCATAAAGAAACCTGTTTGCTCTTGTTCATCAGGATTTCCTAAACTTAACTAGATGATATCTATTAACATTCCACAGAACAAATAGGAGCCTCAAAAATCCAGCTTATTTACATATCATTTTGGATTGTGATGTCAAGAAAATCCTAAATAATGAAGAAAAATGATAAATATGTTTAATCTTGCCATCTTAAGGCTTTCATCATTGAATCAGAGATGATGGAAGGGCTTTATTCTAAATTCTACACAAAAACTAATTAATTTGGTAACTCAAGTCAGTGTATTGGTAGACTTCAGAGTGTTAAAATGCGTTAACACATTGGAGGGTATGTGTTGTTTCTAATTAAGAACTGTAAACAAAAACCACAAACCTTTAAAAACAAAACTTTGTTGATGAAACCCCTGGTACATCCATTATCTCTAAAGTTCTTTTACATATTAAAATAGAGTCTATGTGCATTTTCCCCTGAAATTTCACAACTTTCTTTTAAATCTCTCTTCTTTTTTGCCTACTTGGCTATAGTTTCTTTTCTGTGTTATTGAGGTAATCCTCACTGATATTTTAGTGTAAACCAAAAGGGATAAAAGGTGATCATTCCCAAATTTCTGCATAACTTGTGATCATTATGTATGGACATAATGACATATTTTTAACACTTATTTTTTAAATTATGTGTTGATAAGTCACATTTTGTTATTTACCTGAAAAGCCAATGTTATGTTCGCTGTCACCCTAGTACCAAGACACTCAAAACACATTAAATGAAGTATATTCATCTAAAGGAAAAAAGTTATCACCTAAACCCTTTCTTTTCCATGCCATCATTTAGTGCACACTAGTTATATTTTCTTTCATAGGACTTTACATCATTTGTTTATTTGAAAATAGAACTTGCTTTTCCAGGAATAACGGGCCCTTTTTTTTTTTTTTTTTTTTTAATAACACGGTCCTTGACTGACTCATAGTCTGTTGTAAATAAATGACTTTGACTTCATTTCAATGCTGTTACTGTGTTTCATTTCTCTGTGAAAGTATATATAATCAAGTACAAAAATTCAGAGGTGCTTCTGTTTTATGTGGTTAAGAACTTTTTTTTTTTTTTTTTGTGAGTTGGAGTCTCACTCTGTCGCCCAGACTGGAGT